TTGATGAAAACGTCCTGTAGTCTTTGATTTAAGATTTTAACAAAGGCTTTTCTAACAGTATCCAGGAGCGTGATGGGGTGAGTATTATCTAAATTGCAGTTCTAAGCTTTAGGTTTTGGGATGGGGGTATACGTAGACTAAATTCCATTGTGTTGGTATTAGTGAACTAACGAAACAGACATAAATGATGGTGTACAGGAATTTATTCATTCTTAGGCCTAGTTTTTTCAACATTTCATTAGGTATTTGAGAGGGGCCAGGAGCCTTATGATCGGGCAGGTGTTTAATAATAGACAACCATTCATTGTACGTAGGAATATCCATGATGCCTTTATAAGAATCGTCACAGATGGTGTCAGTGGGTTCGTAGTAACATTGCCAGTCGTTCCAGTTCGAGTTAAAGTCATTTGAATGCTGGTTTGTAACTATTCTATTTGTAGAGCCGGCGATAGTTTGGAAATGTTTTGTTGAATGATCTTTAATTTCATCGGAGGCGAGTGCAAGATATTGTGATGGTGTATCTGCATGGACCATAACTTTGTCAAGAATAATAGCTTTTCTATTCCGTTCAAGACAAGAATCAATCATTTTTGTAGGAGAATCTTTAAAGTTTTCGTTCCTTTGTTTGATAAATTCTAAAATTCTTTCATTGTTTTCTGTACGAGAAACAATACGTTGTTTAGCTTGCATAGGTTTAATGATATCCGATTTTAATTCGTGTAAATAATTTAAAGGGCGATTATTTGAAAAATGATCATCAATCGAGGATGTAGAAATGAAATTTAGGGAGGCTATTGTTAATAAAGTTTTGTGTTCGTCGGGTGATATTGGAAAGAGGGAGGTTGGGGAATAAGGTTGAAGAAGAGCTTTTTTTAACTTGTAGTAGGATTTATATAGCTTATTAATTTGTTTGTGAATGGAAGAGTTCGAACACGAAAATAAAGAATTGTGGCGAGAGGTGGTTGTTTGTTTAGGTAAGTGCTTTTTTGCGGATGTGAGAACAGTATTAGTAAAGAAATCCCAGGCAGCATTAAGAGCATTTTGAGAATTACTAAGATCTTGCGTTGTACAATTTTTAAATTTTGGATCAGTCTTTAGTATAAGGTCCGATTTATCCGCAAATAGATCCCACTGTAAAAAAGTAGT